TGAAGCATGCGCATAGGTACCGTGTCATATCAGGGCCTGAAAAAGCTTCAGATACCTTGTCTTTAAAATAGTATGATGCCTCACTTTCCCATGGCTGGTTTTCCTCTCCTCTCATGGATACCTCTGGGCAGAATGCAAAACCAGGAGCAGAGCCAGTAGCAGAGGACAACACTCACCTCTTAATCCAAGGGCCTGACAAAAGAACCAACAGTATAAAGCTGGGGATGGGTAAAGAAATAGGTCACAGTAGAACAGTAGGAAGAAGTAGCAGTATATTGCCAAATTTGCTTTTTTTTTTTTTTAAGCAAATGGCTAGCCACAAGTGCTGTCCATGACACTACAGCAAACAGAACTCAGACTTCTCTGGCACCCTATCTGTCAGGCAGCCCACACCTGCGTTTTAAAGCTGCTGTGTTTTTGCAAGCTGATGGCAAATTTCATGCTGATTTCAAGGGGTGCTGGGTTCAGCCTATGGGTGGAGAGGCTTTGCCTTTTTACGGTGCTTCAAATTTTGAAGCCCAGGCCGCACTCTTACTGTGGCAGCATACAAAATGGCTGGGCACTGCACACTGCCCAGTCATTCCGGTATGCCAGGGTTATTGTCTTCCAAACACAGGGTAACAGCTGAGTCTAACCAAACTAGACAAAATGCACTTTCCCAGCTCCCTTTGCAGAATTAGGGGGCTATAATTAAGGCTGCATTAGCATTTCCGTTACAAAGTCCTACTTTTGAAGCTTCAATCATTTGTATTTAAGACATCCTTACCAAGTGGCAATTTGGCACACAGGCATGAAAACTTTGAGAAAAACCAGCTCTCACACTAAATTCAGTAATAAAGGTCTCACCGATTTCAACTACATAGAACGAGGCCCAGCACTAGCTGCTTATCTGTGGGAGCTTAAAATCCCTGGTAGGGCTGAAATATTAATTTTTCCTAACATAATTTTTACTTATTTTCTGAGCACTTGAGTGTGCACACTCTGCACGCTGTTTTTGCAGAGCAAGCAGAAGGTTTATGGCCTGGCTAATGAGGCTTTCATACCTAAATCCCAGCCGTGTCTCCTTGCTGTAACAAGGATGCACTGCTTTGGCTGGAACTTGCGGTGTGCCTGCAAGTCCACCAGTATTGATATCAGCACCTCCCAGGGCCAAGGTCTATAAAATGCCATACGTGCACATTATCTTAATGACAGTGCCAAGGAGACAGATGACAAGTTCTTGAAACACTTCAAAAAAGTGCCAACTGTTTTTTTTATACTTTTAATGGGCTGATTTCATTAGAGAGGGACTTGTATCTGGACGCTGTGGAGCTCTAGCTTGGATGACTGCCTGCGTGTATGTTGTCACCGCAGTCACCACTGCAGCTGCCAGGTGATGCAGAGGTACACAAACCCGCTGTAGCCACCGTAAGTAGAGCAGAAGGGCCTCTCTGCCCAACAATTTGGTTCTCAGGTAGGCTTGCAGGTTACGCTAAGTTTCATGCCGCAACAGCTACAGGTAGTCACTGCACAAAATTCATGCCCAGGAATAGTGATTGCTTTCTGGAAGCAAGAGACACGAAAACTTACGTTGCTGTGTAGGCTGGAGATGTAAAAAGGCTTATATGAGTCTTCCACTATCATCTTCCTCATGTGGTAGCATTACCAACGCTAAGTACTAGAGGAAATCTCCCATCAGCTGTGTGCAAAGATGTTCTAAGCTGCTGACATGCGTGTGTCCATGGTCATTTACACAACCCTAGATGGGTTGCTAATCCATTTCTTCAACTCCAAAATACAGCAATCCACATCCTGTCTTCAAAAGCATCCCTTCTCTGCATCCATTTTAGAATTTGACCCAAGGTATTACACAACTAATTGCTAGTTGGATTGCTCAGACGTCCTGTAGCTGACAAAAAGTAAAAAAATTCTGGATTAAACTGTTCTATGCAACATTTTCAGTAGCGTGCTTCCTTATCTTCTCTATCATCCCCTTGAAAAGATTGATGAAAACCAAAAATTTCTGAGTAGTGACTCAAGCAAGCAAATTGTGATTCTATTAATTTCTCTTTACTTATTTCTGCACTATTTCAGGCAGCCTAGAGATTCCTGGAAAGAACAGACACTGAAATAATTCTCATTAATATTAGTGTGTGCCATAATTAGCTGGAAGGGTCTGCTTTACTGAGGGCCTCTTTAAACCTTGTCCGTCTGGTTTCAATCAAATCATCAAAAGAAATAGCAAATGTCTCCTTCAGAATAGCTGTTTCTTACTCATTACAATATTCAATTATAAGTAAATAAATTGGCAGAAGTTGCGTTGCCTGTATGTCATAAAGATGATCAGCTCTGATACCTGGTCTGACCTCAGAATATCACTAAGTAGGGGAGTGCCAAGCACTCTTTTCTCTGCTAAGCACAGCCATCAAGCTCTTTAAATAGCATAAAGAGCTGCAATGGGGATTTTGATTCCAGCCTATAAAGGAACAAAGTAGTCAGGGCAGAAGTCACTCACAATTCTCAACAGGACTTTTACTACAGCTTACAGCCAGTGTGTGCTAGTTTCTCGGGTACGGAGCGGCAGGCCTGAAGATCCATTGCTGCTTGTTTTAAGTGTACTTGGGATTTTGCATGCGTGCTTAAAATCAAATCTAGCCAGACCAAGTATACATCTGATTCCTCGAAGCGGATATATGCTATATGGCCGTAACAATTGAAGGCAAGCATACATGACATATACCCAAATGTTCACAAGGCAGACAGCCTACAGAATTCATTGCATACTAAAGATGAAACATAATTATTAAAATATAAAATATATATGCAAACTAAACCTGTTAGCAAGCTGAGCATACCAAAAGGCTGCATGAACACATACTCAACACCTTAAACTATCTTGTGAGGTGCTGAGACAGTAACAAACCTTACTTCTTATTCCTTATACCTGGCGATTTTGTTGTGGCTGCTGATGGTTTCACCTGCAGCCCCATAGTTAAATTACCTGCTGGGTTTTGGACATCTTATACTTTTCCTGTACCACTTGTTGGTCCCAGGTTCCCAAACCCTTTCATGCATGCTGGTGTCCTCCCTTGGAAGAGGACAAGTGCTGCCGGCCTGAACTTCTGGGTTTCCCAACCACATGAACTGAGCAGGCCCCTGTAAGAAAAGTTTTCACAGGAACTAGACTAAGGATTGATGGAGGTCACCCACAACAGGTACAGCAAAATTTCAAATTTTCTTTATTTACCTGAGAGCCATGATAAGAAAAACACTCAGAACTGTGCCTTCTTTAAACACTAACTTCTCCTGGTATGTCTCAGTAAATTACACTCAGTACCTCTTCCACAGCATCTTCCCTCAGCTGAGGCCCAGACATTTTCTTCCTCTTGAGTTTGGTGTCTTGAGTCTGTTCGATACCTTTCATTCTGTGCTCTCGCCTTGAGGAAAAATTTCGAGTTGGCTAAAGCCACATAGGTTAGCATTCCCCAGACTTATGACATCTGTAATTTTTTGGTCCTTTTAATACAATTAGGACATTTCAGAGATACCTTGTTTCTGTCTCATCTCTGAAACTGTTTTCTTTCATATAGTTTCATCTGCTTAACACTCGTCTTAGATGCAACTCCATGGTGTAAAACATAGTATCAAGCAGGTAAGCTATATAAACAAAGTAGTACAGATTTTGCTCTCCTTGGTTTTATAAGGAAATGGCATACTCTCTCATCTCAAAAAACCTAATCATTACAACCTAACAATTTCTATTATATCATGTATTAGTCTAGTTTAAAGCTATAAGAAATGCAGTGTTAATTCTTTTCTGAGCTTCTTAAAAGCTCAGTGAAATCCAAACTGATGTTATCAATTATGTTACCGCCTCCCCACACTTTCAAATTCTTTGCTTTCCATTTTCCAGACGTCTTGACTTATTAAAATGAATTGTGCATGTTATTGTGGTTATTCGACAGCTTTTCTAAAAATCCAACGTAAGCTGATCTCCAGCAGCTGACACAAAATGCTGACATAAATCAAATACTCTCATTAAAGGAGAAACAGTATGAAAATCACTTTTTATTAATTTTCAAATATAAAACAAGAATTTCTGCATTTGCTTATCTAGTGCAAATGATTACCCCTGTGATCAGTCCCAGCATTAACTCTTACAGATATTTTACATCATCATAAGGTATTGTGTTTAATCACTCAACATACTAAAACCAATTTTTGAGAGTTAAAAATAAGAACGAAACAGAATTGGCGACAAGACCCAATGTTGTTCCACATTCCTTGCAGAGTACCCCAGAGAACACAGCAACTCTGACGTCTCAGCAGCCTTACACTCATTCATGAATCGTATCCATTCTGCAGTTTTTACCTTTTTGCACTTCTTAGCCATCCTAAGGATGTTACCTTTCTGGACTCAAGCATTCATAGTGCCAGGTGGCTATTCCCACACACGTAACAAGAAGTGGTACCTCTAGTCAGACTGTGGTACTCTTGCTCATGTCAGATACTATCTTTCTGCACGAGTGTGCCGAGACATTCCTCTGCCTAACAGTAACCCATGGCCTCGTGCCAGACCCAGACTGAAGTGCAAGAACTAGTAAGTCAAGCTTTTTGCAACAAACCTAACTGTAGGCCAGGATCCCCTGCCAGCCTCTTTCTTGGGTCATCCAAGTGTCTTCCACTAGTTAACTAAAACTTAATGTCAATGGAATAATAGACAATAAAGCAACCAAAACCCAAATCAGAGCCAGAATCTTCCCTTTTACATATGTAACAACAGAGAAGCTCCCAGTGCATTTAAGAACAGACGTAAATATAAAGTAACCTGCTTAGTAGTACACTGAATAGTAGTTGCTGTAGGCCATGACAGAAGCACAGAGAAAGAACTACTTCATTTTTGAAGTCAGTCAGATTGTCAAATGCAACAACAGATGAAAACACAGTAGACAGAACCTCAGGTAGGCCAATTACCTGCTTTAAATGTTAGTTCTGCATCACTGTCAGTGTGAGCTGACTGAACATTAAGCTCCAGCCTAACACTTTTTGTTTGTTTGTTCTGGTGAGGGTTTTTTTTTGTTTTGGTCTTTTTTTGTTCCTTTTTTTTTTTTTTTTTTTTTTAAATGCTTCCGATTAGAAAGATCTATGATCTATTAATCCTGGAAATCTCACTAATAAATCCAGTCCTGTTTTCAGCCTACAGGGATGATATGCCTTTGCAAAGAGCAAAGCTTCAAACAAAATCTAAGATTTTGTTTTTCCTGCAAGCACCGTAAGTCCCAGTTAACAAAACCAAATGCAATAGACAAACTCAGCCCTTGAGTAAATCTGCATTTTTAATACACTACTTCTACATGCAGTAGAAGCTGAAAAGGCAACCTGTAAAATTATGAAGTGACTATCAACCCAATGGGCTTCAATGCATAATGAGGCAAATCAGCACTTCTTCACAACAAGATGCTTTGTTTCGGTCCTTACAGGACAAAGTCTCCAACAAGTAGCATGCTGGTGGTCGGTTAAAAATGAAGTTACTATAATTGCAGACTGCCAAAGACTTCTATGTTTCTGTCAGTATAAAAGCCTCAGCTTACTCCCTTTATCCAGAACATCCAAGATTTTAATTCACAAATCTTGATGGGTATGACTGAGTAAAAGAAAAAGCATGCAATTTTATCATCAGTGTTTCTGTACAATCTGCTAGAAGGCCTGGTATACATTCATATGTCTTGTTCATTTTACAATCACTTAATTTCAGCATTTAAAGATTCCTCTAATAGCAGTTCTAAAATCCCACTTTGTTCCAATGCTTATGTAAAAGAGAGTTGTACCAGTTCCACTTCTGGAAACCAATTCAGTTTTGCTTAATGCACTGCCTTGCACCACCATTATCTTCATCATCTGCTACAGGTTAGAACGAGTCAGCCAGGGAAATTCCTGGAAGCAAAAAAACCACCAGAATAAAAAACATATCAGAATGGACAAATAGTAAGAGGAACAGGATGCAAATATTTATTAAGTACCAGAGGGAATCCACAGGAAATAAAGACTGCTTAAAAACGTTTCATCTTGTTTTGTCAGGAATGGAAAGGAACAATCATAAATTCTGGGAACAGTCATTAAAGACACTATGCATTAATAATAGCCAACAGAAAAAAATAAAAAAAAAACCCAAACCAAGGAAAGCAGATGGCACAGTGTAAAAGCATCCATTCTCCTATCTACCAAATCTAAAGACAATCTTTCTGCCTTGCAACTATCTCTGCCTTCTCTGCAGTTTAACTGATACTTCCTGAGGATTTCAGAGGCTTGCCCACATGAAGCTTGCAGAAAAAGAAAGGAAAACATATATGTACCTGTTTCTTCCTCTCAGACTGTGGATCAATCATTACATTTATAAGAGAAGGTGTTTGCTTGTCAGTGACACTTGCTTTCAGGGCGTTCTGCAATTCTTCTGGTGTTTTAACAAAGTATCCTTTACCTCCAAAGGCAGACATAATTTCCTCATAGTGTGAATTTGGCAGGAGAGAAACAGGAGGTACACTGTAATGAGAAGGAAAACCTCTGATTAATGACAGGGAAGAATTGCCAGACGGACCAATTACTTCAGCACTGATTTTAAAGTGTAAGATGATTATTGTGCTGGCCTGATGAATTCTTTTGGGCTGGAAGAACTGTGTTTCCTATACCGCTTAAGCTATGTTTATAGGGTAGCAGAAGCCCGGTGTAAACTCAGAACACAAGTCTCAGGTAATTTTGGAGATTATCATGATTTTGGAGGTTAGCCCACTATGAACTCCGCACTGTGTGGCCTGAACTGCTGCAGGAACCTGAGACAACTAATAGAGTCATCTCTCTGCTGCACTGTTGTGTAAACAATAGTCTGGAATTAGGCTGGTTGCTTGCTTTTGGTAACTGGTTCTTACTTACATGAACTTAGCCTAAGACTAAGTTCACTTTATGAAAATTATCAATCTGGATCACAAAGCATTAAAAGTGAAGAGAATGACCATTTTGGTCACTTCTTCCTTAATTAACAGAACATACTTTGAAGATGCTCACCATGTAGCAGGATCTCCAAACTTTAACATCTCCTTCCAGGCATCTGCATCCAAACCAGTGTAAATCCCATTGTTGTTTACTACAATAATCAGGATTGGCAAGTTGTACCTACAAAAAGATGCATTTGGAAGAATTCTGAAATACTTGCACCTTTCTGTAAGGTGTTAAAAGTGTTACTTTTCCTTAAAAGCAAAATAAATTAAAAAAAAAAACAACAAACTTCCACCTGAAACATGATCTACTCACCACCGGTAACACATTATGTCACAACAGCGTAAAAATGACCATGTATATTTTTTGGCTTGTTTTCATGTGCTTTTAAGAGTATGCCATCTAACAGCAGCATCCTTGGCCTTCTAGTTAAATTGATCCTGGCAATACACGAAGAGGGTCTTCTTGAGCAAAAACCAGTTACCTACAAATAGTCTCCACCTCCATCCCAGAAAATCCGAAAGCGCTGTCTCCCTCTACACAGACGACTCGCTTTTCAGGTGTTTGGTCTTTAGCTACCATTGCAGCTGCTATAGCAAAAGCCAGTCCGACTCCCATCGTTCCAAAAGTACCTGCATCAAGTCTAAAGGGGAGAATACAGAATTACTATCCCTTTATTTCTACTCAAACTTTTAAGTTAATCCATGGTGACTTATCTTTACTTTTAATAATTTGCCATATACTATTCAAATACTGTTTCATAACACCAGATGTATCTCTTTATACCAATTGTTTATGAAACAGCGTATCTGAAAGCAAATTTGAAAAGTTAGCCCTAGAATAATCTAGTTCTTTATGTACTTTTGTATCCATTATGTGCTTCTGACTGAAACGATCTAACTTAATTACAGCTTTCAATTTGATTTCAAAAGTTGAACAGAAGACTAAAATTTGAACAGCAGTATTTAACCGATGGCTTCTAGTTACATTTTCAAGGCATTAAATATAGAAAGATTTCATGTAGTCTGCCTATCTCTACAGTAATTGAATGTTTTTGAAATATTGTGACTATGCAAGCTAAAAGCATACAAGAATAGTTCTTTATTGTAGTACAACTAGTGTATGAGAGTTCTTAATTTTAATTAGAGTCCCAGTATGTTTATGTCACTTAAAACATTTGCAGTCTTATCAAATATTTGACTGAATATAATAAAGAACTAGATCATTCTAGGGTTCACTTTTCAAATCTGCTTTCAGATATGCACAATGCAATCTGCAAAGACAATCATTAACATTACTGTGCCCTTATTTTATTTAAGGGGGAAAAAAATGCAAACTCTTCCCCCAACTTTACTGGAAGTAGGGTTTTTTGTTTGTTTGGTTGTTTTTTGTTTACAAAGAAGTATTTAGGTTCATTCAGGACTTTAGTGCCACTTTCACAAGAAGGCACAAGCTTCACAGTCAGATCAGAGTATCACCTCACCAGACAGAATTAACTTCCCCCCCCATTCAAGAAACAGCACTTTATTCCTACTTAAACGTGTAGTCTAGTTTTAATATAAAGTGACATACCAACACTTCCAAATTTGAGTGCCTACATTTTAGGCACGCAGGTTTACATGAAAGTGTGCCCAATATATAATCCAGTTTTCAAAATGAGTTGATTCTTCTTAAGTTTTCCCTGGTTTTAAGTGTGTTTCAAAGAAAAACTCTTCGTATGAATTCTTTTCAACATGAGAATCCCAACGATTGCTTTTATTTTAAATCAGTATTTATCATAGACTGAGCACAGAAATAAACATCTACATCAGGGAATTCAACATGCTGCTTCTCACTCACTTTCTACAAAAGAGTGAGAAACTATCACCATTTTTCTGCAGAGCACACAGACAAGTCGCAGAGAACTGTTAAAATCTATGACAGGTCATCAGTGTGTGAGGGGAAAACTTCCCTTAACCTCTCTCTCAACATACTAAACTTTTCTTTTTTATTTAGAAACTTTAAAAAGGATTACAAAAATTCTGGACCATCATACTTCTCAGCTAAATGAAAATATTTATACATAGATCTAGCCTGTTGAGTCAGTACAACAAAAAATACCACACCTTTGACGGGGATGGTAATTTGGAAGCATAGTTCGTCCAATGTCCATGGTGTTTGCTCCCTCACTTACTAAGATGCAGTCCTTGGGTATCAGTTCTCTGATGTGATGAAAGACTGTGTAATAATTCATAGGCAGGGATTTCTGTAATGCTAATCCCTTAAAAATAAAAGACATTAGTAACTCCTATGCATAGAATTTATAATACGGTGCAGAACTGAGACATGTAAATAATAACAATGGAAATAAAAATGCACTTTACTAGGCAAGGCTGAAGTATTTGGTCTTCCATGCACTACATCAAGGTCACTCCTTCTGTATCTATCCTGGTGACACAATGTATTTATCAGAGGCTCACTCAGCTCAGCAACCCATGGATGGCCTACCATTAACAGGAAGCTATTAAAACTCAGTTAACTTGAGAGGCACGTGAAATTTTTCTGCACGCAGGTTTGACTATTGATAACCCTAAGTGAGCTGTCATCTGTGTGCTGGGAGGCAGTTCAAAAGAGTGATCTGCTAGAATTAATTTATTTTAGATCCCAATCTCGGAAACATGCATCTGAACTTGCAGAATATAAATTGCATAAAGTTAGGCATATGCCAAGCATGTGTGGTCTTTTGGCCTTAATAGCTACCTGCTTTTAACATAGATTATACTTCCACCAGCATTGCTAAACAGCACAATTACAGAAGAAAACTAAGAATGCATCTTCATGTAAGCTAGCTTCCACTTGGAGTACTTGGAGGTACTTGGAGTACCTGCCCATTGCTTAGAAGTTGCTGCCAATAATACAGCAGCTCTAGCTGTGGTCGTCTACTACTGGCTTTTAAGAACCCAATCCCAAAGTTCAATGACTTCCACACAGTTTGAATTTATACAAAACCTAGAATACTTAACTTACAGTTAAGTATTAAGATTTAACTTACAGTTCATAAGCCTGACAAGAGTAAGTCTGTACCAGAATGGTGTAGCTTTTCAAAGTCTGGGTGACTTGACTGTCAGAAGTCATTGAGAAGCTTGGATATAGATCAGTGACAAAACTGATTATGCATCAGTACCTGTTAAGGAGAGAAACCTCCTCTTTTCTTTAATATAACACTACCTTTGATCTTTCCTCATTGTTCTTTATTTTCTCTCTTAGCCTCTTCCACCACTCTGAATTAGAAGGATATTTCAATGGTCTTTTGCTGAATTCTTCTAAGAGCTGGAAAAACATTGAAATGTTGCAGAGATTTCTTTCAACATATTTAAAAAAAACATCAGAAGCATCAAGAATAACGTTATCAAGAAAGATCCCAGCACAATCACTGGGATGTAACACTAATCAGAATCTTTAACATTTCATTTGGGAATAGACTGGATGCACAGCATGAGTACATTGCCTGAAAAATGGTTTTCCTTGAACAGGTTTTTTTTTTCCTTTTTTAACTGGTAACTTACTTTATATAAATCAAAGGAAATTGAGGTCAAAACAGGAGGACACCTGACATTACATTACCTGCTTAGTCACGGCGTTTATGTCACCTAATAAAATTGCAGCTGGCCTCACATTATTCCCCAGCTCTTCTGCACAAATATCAATCTATATTTCAAAAAGAAAGACCACCATTAACTCAAGGATTATTAAAAGGATTTTTTTTTCAGTTCAGGTGAGGAACATTGTCTAACAATGTCTTCATACCTTGGTTTTGGCTGTACAGATAACTTCCTCTGCCTTTCATTGAAATGACATCAGGAAATGCTTTATTCAAAGTAAAATCCTATGGTACATACCCATTTTAGTAAAAGTTCATATATAATCTTAAAATTGACTGCTTGCTTCTTTCAAGCTCTTACAGACAGTATAGAACTTTATTAGAACATTAAGGAGAAGAAGGTGGTGATTTTAGTAATAATTATATGAGAACTAAAAATCTAGGCTTAGGTATACCCTTAAAGTCTATACAAAGTCGTAATTTTCTTACTGAGAAAAGTTTGTGTATGCTACTTGGCAGTAAGAATTTGGCTAGCGCGAAGAAACTGAAAAGTAGATTGCGACCACTGAAGAAACTTCCCCACTTTATCAGTGATGTATGAGACCTCTAAGGTTACATGGAATACTAACTTATGACCAGGTCACACAGACTATGAACTGAATTAGTATTTTAATACTAACCCTTGACGGTGAAAAAAAATTACTTTAAGTGAGATGAAAAGATATATATATTTTTTAACATTCTTTAGAAAAAGGAAACATAAAAGATGTATTATTTCATAAGTCAAAAGGAATTCTAGCTTAAAAATTTATGTTACTCCTCTGGAAAAAATGCAAAGTTTGGAAGCTGAGATTATGTTCCAGATCACTGAAGGCAGGCCAGTCAGCAAACTGAATCAACTACTACTCTTCGACCACAGACTAAGTGAGGAGATTTTAGGGACATAAACAATTTAACGACTTGTCTTTCTAAGAGCTGGCAGATTGCCAAATACATTGATTAGTTAAATAGCCTTTCTTCCTCTTTTCTTATTGTCCTGGTTTCGGCTGGGATAGAGTTAATTTTCCTCCTAGTAGCTGGTATAGTGCTGTGTCACTCAAACCTCAGCGACAGACATGGCAGCTGCTCAAACGCCTGTGACAGGCACTGTGGCTGAACCAGAGAACCAACCGGTATCAGTCGCCCCTATACACAAGAAAATCAACTCATTTAGTAAGGGATGAAGATGAACCAGGGCCATTACGAGAACAGGAGGAGGAAGAGGCAGAACCCATAAATGAGATGGTAACCACCCAATCCCTATCCCCGAGTGAGCTGCAAGATATGCAAAAAAATTTCAGTCCTTGTCCAGGTAAGCACATTGTCACCTGGCTGCTCTGATGCTGGCATAACGGGGCCAGCAGCCTGGAATCAGAGGGTAGGGAAGCCAAGCAGCTGGGACCCCTTTCCAGGGAAGGGGGCATTGACAAAGCGATTAGAAAAGGGGCACAAGCCCTCAG